ATATCTGAGCAGAGCAAGTGAAGCCAAAGAGATGTATTAAAGTATAACAAATATATTAATAATAAAATAACAAGGGGGGTGAGAAGTGGACTGACGCCTAGGACTGGACTGTTGAGTCCCCAGGCTCTGGACAGGCTGTTAGACTTAGCCCAGGTAGTTAAGGGAGTGATGAAAATACAATTTGAATGTTTCTGTTACCAATAGACACGTGATCTGCAGATCAAGCACTTGGTCCTCTTCCCTTGATATTGCTGTTAAGTATCTTGGGCACAATGAATCCATGTAGGGCACAAATCTAGACAAAAAGGCATCTGTTTGCGGAACCTTGTCTGCTCCAAGGTAGCTTTGCAACTGTTAGACCAAGATGTTGCTGATGAAGGCAAGTGGAAGAACAGAGTTGTTAGCAGGTCAGCTTCATCGGAGTGGCTGGAGAGGAGGGCGCTGTGCCAGGCTTCCTGCGTCACGCTGTCCTGGGCTGGTGTGGCAGTTTGATGGAGCAGCTGGTTGTGGGAGAGGTGGCAAGAGCAATGTGAAAATGAAACGGAGCAGCAGTAACCAGGCAGAGGGTGTTAACAGCAGTCTGCTTCAGCTGACTCTTAGAAGACAATTCCAGTTATTGCTGAAGTCTCCTGTTGCTGTTTCTCATTTCTCTCCACTGAACATCCCTGTGGCTCAGATTTAATTCAGCACTCATTTCTGGACCAGCTTGACTTCTTTCCTAGCAGAAGCAAACTAGAAAAGTAGTAACCAAAAATGCTATAGTGGAGGCAGGTGAGGTGCTTTGGCACCTGGATCCAGTTCACTGCAAGCACAGACAAAGTAACTAGTCACTGGTAACATCTCTGGGCTGCTGGTGTGCGTGAATGCTTGTGTGTGTGAATCTTAGCACAGACTTGCTCCCTGAAATGGTGCAGGTTCACTTTTAGAAGCCAGTAATTCATTATGATGGATATTTGAATCTCTTTTTCTTCCATACTAGGTTTTTCCTGTAGATAAAGTCTTTATTAACTAGAAGTCTTGAATAAAGCTTCACATTCTCTTTCCATATAAGGTGCTTCTTCAATCTGTAGTTACTGAAGGTGCTAAATTGAATGATAAGAAACAATTATCCCATTGTTTGACAAAGAGAAAGCATATTGGTGTGGTGGCAGGCCTTTGCAGTGTCCACCATGAAAAATCCTGGATAAGTACAAGTGAAAACAGAGACAAGTAAGGTAGGAAGAAAGGATTATCCTTGCATTTTTCATGCTAGGTCAGACAGGTAGTTTATGTCAAATATATCCAGTCAAGAATTGTAACTCTGCCATGATTTCAGTAAAAAATTGACTCTTACTTGAAACCAGTCATGTCCCACCTATATGTCTGTAAATTTTATGGGACTAAACAGACCTCTGATTATAAAACAGAGATTGGAATTGGACTCTCTGCACTTGTGATCATCAGCATTTTCAGACATACTGTATTTTGGGCAATTCATCTTTCTATTTACCCACAAATACCAGAGTTCAGAAATTCTTAGATCTCTGAATTGCCATGCTGTCAGTATGTGAGTAAAGGTTCGTGATCGAGTGTGTTTGCTCTAATGATGCTTATACATCTTCCATAGAAGTATTCATTTCAGGAGGAACAGGGGCAGCTGTCAGCCACTATTTTGTGGTGTCTTAAAAAACATGTAGCATCATTGTGCCCACACAGATTAGTAAGTTTGGCGAGATGAGTACTTAACACTGGCCTTTGTTTCTAATTTTAAAAATGGTGTGCTTGGTACTATTAGACAGCACAGATCTTGGCAAATCTTGAAGAGTCGTTCGGTGGTGTTTTCCCAAGACATGCCCACTCCAGCCTTAGAGTTTCTGGGGAACAAATGTGGTGGCCTTCTGCCTCTTGAGGGGTGACAAGTGGTTGGACTTTGGAGCTTGTGAACACTTACTGCAGAATTTGGTCCATGACAGTGTATCCCACAGCAGTAGGACTCAGTGGACAAGCTGCTGAATGACAGCTGGTGGAGCAGTTTCTTCCCCTTGAACGGCTTGCAGTTGTTCTGGTGATGGCCCTTGCTGTCCATTAGGCTCTCCTCCTGGAGGAGGGTCTAGTGTCCCTGCTGTCTCTGCACAGGAGACCATGGGTGATGTAGACCGCTGACTGCCTTTCATATTTTATCTGGACAGTACCAGTGAGGCGCATGACTCCTCACTACTCCTAGACATGCATTTTGGATTCCATGCAAAGTCTGGAAAGACAGCATTAGCTGTAGAGTCAAGATGCATGGCCCTTTCTTTAGGGCTTCTACAGGCAGCTCCTCCTGGTCAGCTCAGGGAGTCACACAGCTGCCAGCTACAGCATCTGTGACTGTGAGGTCTCACTGGGAGATAAATGAAATGAATCTGGGTTGTGTCAGCCTGAGCCATCCTGACAGTCACTCCTTGAGCAGAGTGGCCAAAGATGTATTTATCTCCTAGTGGTGCTGGAGGAAGTTGTATCTCAAGGATAAGAATGAGATAAGGGTAAGGACGTACCAGGACCAGCTCAATTCAATTCTTGATTGCAGACAGAGCAGGGGGAGAGGCCCTGGGCAATGTGAGCACAATTCAGGATAGGCTTCAGATTCAAAAACTGAAAGTATATGTCCTCACCTTGGGAGGGCTTTTTTTCAGCAGAGCACAAAGAGTGCTTCATAGGGAGCAGAGTGTGACAGCAGTGAAAGGTCCATGCTGCACACAGCATCAGACTTGTTCTGAGATAGGTCTCTTTCTCCTTCATCTCTTCATGGCCAGCTACAAGGTAGCCAAGACTCAGATTGTTGCCAAATTCTTCTATGTCATGACTCAGTAGCCAAAGGAAAGATGTTCATTAAATGTCTAAGGAAGTAAAGGCTTGGGTTTGCTTTCTGACTCTGTTTAAAATGCTGCTGTCTGTGCTGGACACTGATGATTTTATTTTTTCTGGGGTAGTAGTCACATGAATAATACATTCCCTGCTGAGCGTTTTTAACAGTCCCTAGCTTCCCATCTGAAGGGAAGTGTAAGAGGTAATTAACAGCCACTTGAAAAAAGGATTAGCAGGTGGGTGGGAGCTACTGTTGGGTTCATGCATGGAATTGCCATGGAAATGCTGAGATTTCCTGGCACTTCATCCAGTGTGTGGGCTCCAAAGATAGTTGCACTCATGGGCCTCTCTCCTTTCGATCTTCCTACCCTGCAAAGGCAAGGGCTGTATTTTCCCTCAGGACAGCTTCTGAAGATGTTGCCATCTGTGCGCGGTGAGGCCTGTTCACCAGGAGCAGGATGCTGGGTTGCAGCTGTCAGCTGAAATCTTTTTGTATTTCTTTCATGTTAAACCAATTGGCAGAAAATCGCGGGACACAGACACAGAGACACACACACACACCCACACCCCCACACCCCCTAGTAG